AACCAGTCTCGCTAGTAAAGTTTTGATGGATGAAGACTGCAATCAAGGTAAAGACAATTGCGGTGGTGTACAGGAGTCATACAGTAAGCACGTGTGAGTCCGTTATAATAATGCGTGGATGAGTGCTCGACGCAGTGATCGCACATTGTATTTACGCACAGGCACAGACATTTACATACATTCAGGTGTTTCCACACACATTCACGATAATGTTTTGATTTGTCATGTTTATGTTGCTGTGTTTAGTTATTCTGAATGGATCCGTGTACTGTAGTAGATTTATGCAGTCAGCAGGCGATTGGTTTAGGTTTTTTTTTGGCATCTCCATGTGGTCCTGTTCGGTATCGCAACTTGACTTCTCTAAAATGTAAAAAAGCTCTTTGGCGTTGCACTGTACACATACTATACAATTCTGATTTTTTTTTTTTTCTTTCATATGTGCTTAAATGGGCTCCTTATATCATTTGGTTCTTTGGTGTCATTTTGGAGTTTCTAAGTGTCCTTTTTTGGAAAGTCATCTAAATTTATCTTGAAAAAAGCTTGCAGAAAATACAGATTTTTGAGAATCACCCTTCAATCTTTTGGTTTACTTTGCTGAATATAGCAAATGATGACAAAATAAACATTTGAAACAAGATAAATGGTCTATGCTTAATTCATGAAGTGTGTCATTAATCGCGATTAATCACAGAAAAAAAAAATATATATATATTGGTCACAACACACATCTTATAGTCTTTAATAGCTTGAAATCTCTAATAATCTTTCTTATCAACATGGTCAGACTTTGATGCCATTTACACATAAACAAGAGCAGATTTATGATTTTTACCCCCCTTGAATATCTTTAATGCTAATGCTACAAGGAAAAATTAGATTTCACTATTTTTGCATTCACTCACAAACATTTTGCATTTCCCTGAGAAACTGTGTTTGATAGCAAAACTTTTGATGTGAAGTGGGATGAAAAACAATATACCTTTTACATTTGCCCACAACTATTTGACATTTTTCTGAGAAACTTTGAATTCAATCTCAAAAGGTTGTGCATTCCCCTTAGAAATGTTGTTTATATAGCATAACTTTGAATATTAAGTGGGATGAAAAACGACATGCCAATGCTTTTATGTTTGCCTGCAAACATTTTGAATATCTCAGAGAAATGTTGTTAGCAAAACTTGTAAAATGAAAACTTAATGAAAACTTGTAAAATTAGATAAAGTACAAGAAAGTTTCTTGGGGGAAAGCATATTTTTCCTCCCATTGTATTTTTGTCCATCATGTCCCCGGCTTAGGTGCTCCGTATAATGCAAATAAATTGCCAATAAAAAATATATATATTTATTCTGTATGACTTTAATGCATAACAAACTCTCAAAAGTCTTCTTCCAAAAGAGACCACAATGACGCCTGTAGTCCAAAGGCTTCACGTGCTACAGCTGTTTCCATTCCTGTATTCAGAAGCTTGCTGCAGGTTAACAGCACAAGTTGATTAAAAGACATCAAACGACCATCATTTACATCACAATCCAATCTAAACACATAAAGCACGTCTGATTGTTGGACGCTCTTCGGCCCACCGCGTGTGTGATTTTCCTGCAGAGAATCGTGATGAGTGATATTGTGCGGTACTAAGAGTGGGTGGCGTAAATAAACTCAATTTCATACTCTCGCAAGGCTGCAGCAGATGCCTGGGGCAGATGATGTAAATACAGTGGGCTCGGCGCCCTGAGAGAGTAAGACTGATAATTACCACTGCACATTATGACAGCGACACTTCCCCCTCCTCAGTGTCATCACTTACCACTTTCCTCCTTATCACGGCATGTAGACGGCCGTCATAAGCCTCATACACAGTATTCCAGCCCATCGTTTTTCCTGCGGCGATAAAGGTTAAATGTGGACTTTGATGTCATTTCTGAAGACCCAGAAACCTTACAGGAAGATGTGAATTCTCTGTAGAGACAGTGCGGGCCTTTTTCTTTTTTTTTTTTTTTTTATAAGGGATAGATGGTTTTTAGTCTGGGATTTCATTTAAAGCCACAAGCTATGAAAAACTTTGAATGTCAGTCGGCCTGAACAGGTGACTGCAAAACCAGTGACCTTTACTCTTAAAAAGGATAGAGGAAACACATCAAACAAGGCCTCAGGCCGTTCCCTAGACAGCACTCGCTCAACGTGAGTCGATGCGTTTTTTTTAAGACATCTTAAGACTGTGTATTTTTGCTTTAACCTGTGGAGTTTGTCTCATGGGGTTCTTATGTTGTTAAAGTTGAGAGAAAGCACTGTAGCGTCTCTTAAATATCAACGTTTTAGGATTGAGTTTCAGATAGTGGATGCACAATGTACAGTATATCATGTGACATGGTTCACTTTAACATTAATACATTTTATTTTAACATTATTATCTAGCATTCAGCCTAATGTTAATAAAATTTAAAAAAGAATGCAAATGAAATTGTGATTTTTTTTATTGTGGTGAATTATCAATTATTGTGGTGTGTGTAAATACATATATGTATGTATGTAATGTGTGTGTGTGTGTGTGTGTGTGTATATATATATACACACAAATAGTCGGCCTGAACAGGTGACTGCAAAACCAGTGACCTTTACTCTTAAAAAGGATAGAGGAAACACATCAAACAAGGCCTCAGGCCGTTCCCTAGACAGCACTCGCTCAACGTGAGTCGATGCGTTTTTTTTAAGACATCTTAAGACTGTGTATTTTTGCTTTAACCTGTGGAGTTTGTCTCATGGGGTTCTTATGTTGTTAAAGTTGAGAGAAAGCACTGTAGCGTCTCTTAAATATCAACGTTTTAGGATTGAGTTTCAGATAGTGGATGCACAATGTACAGTATATCATGTGACATGGTTCACTTTAACATTAATACATTTTATTTTAACATTATTATCTAGCATTCAGCCTTTATCCAGTAGTGCTAAATGTATTATTACAATGATTCACTGTCCTGTACATCCCTGGTCAGGATTTTCTTTAAATAAAAATCAGAATAAGTTCTTCAATTTACTCTGAATATGAACCTGGAGAATGTTGCATGTACATAATGATGTTGTTGTAACTGATGTAACTGAAATAATGTTGCATTTCAGTTAAAACAACAGAAGTTTGCCTTTACATACTTACTTTTCAATTAAATTAAATTAAATTAAATTAAATTAATACACACACACACACACACACACACACACACACAAATATATATATATAAACAAATATTTATTATTAAATACAAAAAAAATATATATTTGTCTGTCTGTCTGTCTATATATATATATATTTGATTGGACAATGAAAATTAGAAATGTCACATTGGCAACTAACTGATATAAAATAAGTGTAAGTTGAAGTACTAAAAATACTAAAACTAAAATAATATAAAAAATATTTTTAAATAAAATTAAACAAAAAAACTATAAATA